TGAACAAGACCCTTCACTGATCAGTTTCATATCTGCGTTTCTTAGCTCAAACTCTTTCCGGCTTAACTTTGTCCCAATTTCCCCTGTATGTTCCTTCCTCTGCTTAGATTCTTTTGGAGAATTGGATCTAAGTTAGCTAAATACTTTACGTGTTTCTGAGAACTGAATTATATTGAAACTTGAGGTGCAGTATGCAAGCAACGGAAGATAGCGTCTAAACTCAAGGTTGAGGTAGGTTTTTGAAGACCATTTGCTTTAAGGAACTGTTTCAATATTTGTTTTGGCAAACCTCTAAAGCGAATTCTGTACCAGATACAAACATGTTTATCATAGTTGTCACATCTATACCCAGCATTCACAAACATGGTAATGTTTTTTTACTTATAAACTGATCATATAAACTTGCATACTACTATTTAACATACAGTTCTAACTTCAAACATTTTCCTTGTACTTGTCTTGCATTGTGTTTGTGACTCATGCATAAATTCTACTATATGCGCCTTTCGGTTACAGCTATACCAAGATATTGGCTTGATTGAAGCAATTGATATACTTTATATCAGTACATTTTTTTTTTCTTCAATTGAATGTAATATTGTATTCAAATTAATTCCTTTTCTATACTAAATTGAACTGGTTGAATATCAACCACTTTGTGTCTAAATCTCTAAGAGCATGATTATAGATAACAAATATATTTGGATAAATATATAAATTTTATAATATTAATTGTATTGTGATTGATAAAAAAAAAAAAAAATGAGAGAGATAGAGAGATGTTATATTACCCCACTAAATATGAGTAATATATATCATAAAATTAGAGACTCAAATATGGAGTAGGTAAATATATGAATTTTATAATATTAAAAATTCATTATATTTACCTCTATTACCCACCCATAATCATGCTCTAAGTCTCTTTCTCTGTTAAATGTGGCAACATGTTATATGTTTTTTTTTTGTCAACACGCTTTTCAATAATTAATCGATCATAATACAAAAGGAATGAATGCAGCATCATCCAGCCTTAATACAACATAAATAAAATGCGATAAAGTATAAAGCAGATAAATCATCGTAGAAGATGGACAACGAATCCAAGTCGTGGCTCGGATGCGCAAGAAGATCTTCGCGGCAAAGCGGGAGAGTCTCAGGACAGTCACTTGCCAATGTGAATTTGAAAAACCCGTCATAATGCTCGGGAATTCGACCACTCTCCAGGAGAGGGAAGAAAATACAGCCAATCTCAAAGAGATGGTCGTAAGTGGGATTAGACTCTTCCACTGGGAGTAAATTACAGGATTTGAGAACCCAGAAAACTTTTGTCTTCTCACAGTATAAGAGATATAATCAATAAAAATTACAGAATTTGAGAATCCAGAAAACTTTGTTTTTGGAGAAAAACTAACAAGCTCATAAGCACATAAATTTTTTAAAAATGTCTTTTAAAAATCATTGGGAATGTGCCTATCAAAATAAATAGCCCACCCTTTAAATTCTTTTTGGGCCAAGCCCAAACCCATAAATATGGGCCAATTAGACCCAGCCCCCTTTTACTTCTTCTCATGGGCCGAGCCCAAATATTAAGGAAATAGAATTGGGCCACGCCCATTAGCATCAAAATTAGGTCAGAAATGTTCACCCCCTGTAGCCGGCGAGACAAGGCCGAGGAGCGCCCCTGGGGAAATCTCCGGCGATGGCTGGAAAGTCCGAGTGAGTCCTGTACCAGAACAAAAGGATTGTTCGGCAGAGGGACAAGAAATTCCAATGTTGGGATTCTTGCTCTCGGGCTAGGGAGATTCCGACTTCTGGGAAAGTGGTGGAGATGGGGCTCAACATCAACGGACGGAGAGCCAAGGCCACAAAGGCGAGCGCATCGCGGCGTCCCTCTAGATCCGGTGCCGTTCGGATCTGTAGAGGTTGCCGATTTTTCTAACCATTGATGAAGCGGGACTAGCCCTGGGGAGAGTACGGGGCGGTGATGAAGCTTGGCATGGGTGAGAGGGCTCGACGGTGCAGGGGGGGAATCTGGCGGGTCCGGTGGAGGGAGAGGTCTTGCCATTCCCGTCTCCGTCGTCACGAAAAAGTAGACAGGTCGGAGCAAAGCCAAGGTCTCAAGTGTGCTCACCAAGGGGAGCGAGAGATGGAGATCGGCCAAGCGAGGCGAGTCGATGGGATTGGATCTCACCGGCGGGATAAGCAAGCGGGTCTTTGGGTCGCATATGGAACGAACCAAACGCGTTGCTCGTCGACATCACTACTCAGATCTGCCGGCAACTTCTCTGGAGAGTCATTGGTCGTCGGAAGGCTCATTCCGGAGTAAAGGCGGTCCCTCCGACATTTTATATGTTTATATTTGTAATTCTTTGATTTGTTAGTTCAGCAAAAAAAAAATCTTTGATTTGTTTGCTTGTTTGATCACCTCGAGTGCCTAACCTTGCGATGGCGGCAAGTGTTGAAGACAAGTCAAATATAACAAACAAAATGTCTTTTCAAGTGTAAGAAACAAGCAATAATCCTTTTATGCAAAACTTATGTTCCCCCATTAATGGCATCTATGTTTAGTACCAAACATTACGGTTCCCATTCTTGTTCCATTTCAGTTGTCAGTTTGAGATTCTTTCAAACTCGTGTTTGTTTCCATGGAAGACGATCAGAAAGTTTTAAACCACATGGAAATGCAATAAAGAACATATTCCAGTGTTGAAGAGTTAACAATGATTGCTAGTGTTATGGATTCAACAATTAAAAAAGTTTTATAATGTTTCTCATGCAAAATTTCGTAAACGTTTCCTCCTCCAAACAAATCAAAACCATATCGCTCTTAAAGAAAATTCGAATCATCGAGAATCAACACCGTTCTGCTAATCTCTCAGAGACTCCACGGAGCTTGGAGTAAACCTTACCAGCTGGAGATCCCATAATAAGACTGCATAGTGAACTCCTTGCGACTTTAATGTTAGAGAAAGCTCCTAATATATGAATCCTTGTGTCTGCAATCACAATCCTTGTCTTTGTTGAGTTCTCAATCGCAAATCTCGTCTTCCCTCCTTTCCCTGACAATCTCCCGATAGCTCGGGACTGATGCTCCCCTTTAAGGGTCTTCACATCCTTGATCTCAAAAGATTCCACATACAGCTCGTCCATTCGCAGAAGCGAAATAGCATCAGGGATATCGAAACCGAGCATGAAAGCGTGTACGAAATCCGCAGACTTCTGAAGGTTACTAACATCAGGTGTGTCAGCTCGGGTTTTGAGCTCGACTTTGCGTGCTTTGAGATTCATCCTGATGTCAATTTTCATCTGGTCGTAGACCGGTGTGTAGATATCTAACCAAGCTTTCTTGAGAGGAGTGTACCGGTTTGATGGGACGGATACTTTTCTGAATTGAACTTTCCCATCAGACATCTCATGAGCTTTCAACGGCTTAAAGATTGGCTTAGCCGGCATTGGCTCGGTTACAGTTGCAGGCTGGATTTCCATCGGAGTAGATTCTGCCATTGACTTCAATGATTTATCTTCAAACCTATACAACAAACAAATCATACATAAGCAAACTACGAAATTCACAACTCTGACCACAAAAACATGAACTTGTGATTCATCATACAAAAGCAAACTACGAAATTCATAACTCTGATCATAAAATCATGAACTTGTGATTCATCACACAAAAGCAAACTACGAAACTAACGACTCTTACAATAAAAACATGAACTTGTGATTCAATGTTCCTCAGTAAACACTAACTAAACAGATATAAAACAGAGCATCTATGAATCAAGGTCTGAAAACAATTGAAATCTCACAACTTATGGCTACATCAATTTCGTTTTAAACCGCAAACAGAGATTTTCCCAGGAATCAGAAAATGATAACAAGAGTTCTAATTTGTGCATTCATGAACTAAATTGACATATACGAAAAGAAAACAGAACCAGATTAAGCTTAAAAAGCAGAACGAAATAGCTAAAAATCAATCCTTTTATATAGATAACCTTCAAAAGTGGAACGAAAATAGCTCAAAAATCAATCCTTTCGATAGATAGATACAATAATTCGACCTCTACAAATCTGAAGATAAACCCTAGCTCGTAAATTTGATTACTTTATAAGAAAAAATGAAAGAAGAAAAGAGTACCTGGGTTTCTAGAGATTCTCGACGGCTAAAGAAGAAGAAGAGCTTTGAAGCTGTTGGGTGTTTCGTGAAGGATACAAGAAACTTAGGTCAAGCTTTTATTTAGGGCTGTGCCAAAACGATGCCGTTTTATACGTTAAATGGATCAACTTGCATGCCCATTATACGTTTCTTATTGGGCCACAAGACCCATTAAGTATCGTACGAAATTTTGAAAAAATGGAAAAAAGTAGCCCGGGAAAAAAAAAAAAATTATATTCTTCTCCTTTCCGCATCTTATTAATTAAATTAGATTCCTTCTTCCTCTCTTCAATTTCAATTTTTTTTTGTTTTCCTGTTTCCAGATCCGAATCTCTGCTCCGAATCTGATTGGTGATGGTGATCGTTATCGGAAAGTAACTCGTCACTGTTCTTCGATATATTGCTCATATGCTTGTTCCATTTGAAACTGTGTTTTAGTTCCAGATTATCCTCTATATTCACATCTGTGTTCTTTGTGAAATTTGATTTCAACTTTTTGTGTTCCGCTTCATGAGTTTTGGGGATAAAATTTTGTGATCTTGGAGTGTTTGATTTACTATTGATCTGAAATCACTTATAATTGATTGTTAAACACAAAATCAGATTCTTGTGTTAAGAGTAGAAACAAGTGTCTATATCTTCCTCTGTTGAAACTCTGTAGAAGAAATTGCTCTTAGGACGAAGTTTTGGGGATAAATTTTGGGATCTCAATATTTCATAGGTCTTGAGTGTTTGTGTGTTTGGTTTTGGTATGCTATTGTTCTCAGAGACATTTCATGGAAGAAGATCTGAACTCACTTATATAGCAATTGATTGTTGATTTTGGTTTGTAGCACAGATTTTTGTCTTTGAGTAGAAACAAGTGCGTATATTATAACTTCCTCTGTTGAAACTAGTAGACTGGTTTTGTGAAATTGCTCATTCCGTAGGATCATGAATACGGAAAATGGACTTGTAATTGGAAAATGAGATACAATGCAAGATGATTTCAAATTTTAGTTAAAGACATAAGGTAACAGGAATAGTTTTTATAGATCAACAATTCAAAGTTCAAGCTTAGAAGCTCACATTCAATCAAATCATGAATTTACATGTTGCTGTTTTTTTTATCCTTACAAGGACAATGGGTTTTTAAGTTAAAACCCCCAATACACTTTAATCTGCACATAAAAGACCAACAAATCCTTTTGCACAAAAAAAAATAGTTCCATAATTATAATCCCCTCCTTTAAAATCCTTTCCAGGTACTTAGGACTTCATGGAACACTTCAGAAATCAATTCTCTGTCTGCGCATTGCATGAATACATTGAATTCATCGCGGATCTCGAATATCTTACCAAACTTCACAAGATACCTCATGCAGCTAGCCTTCAGTTCAGGTAATTGATAGAGATAAGCGTTCTGTAGCCTCTCGAGTACATTCTTTGTGTCGATATCGTCTAGGAGACTCAAATGGCACGTGTCTTTTAAATCAGCAATATCGTATTTATCAGCTGCTTGTAGAAGTGCCAATCTGTGTATGAGAAAGTCTTCGTTCTGGATATTGCCATAGATATAACTGAGAAAAGCTTGGCAAGCTTCGAGCGGCATGTCGGGTATATTTATTGCTGATAGCTCTTTCTCTTTCAGGTCATGTAAAAACATGCTTCGGAAAACAGGTGAACGAGCAGCAAGAACAGCTCGATGAGCTCCAATGCTTCCACCAGATGCATTGATCATTATGTCAGTGTATATGCTTTCTGTCAACATACGTCCAAAGGATGATACCGCTGTAACTTTCGATTGATTCTCCGTTGAACCGTCTGCCCAAATTGAATAAAATTCCCCGCTCTGCCAATTCAGGTAATTAACCAGTTACAATACATACATTTTACCAAACATTTAAGATTATTTGATCCAAGGAGACACTTACATCTTGAGACAGAACCTTCAAGTCAAGAAACTCGACGTCGATGATGATTTTTCCAGTTAAAGGAACTTCAATCGTCCAAAGAAAATCTTCGTTTGTCTTGATCCGCTTATCGATTACTTCTGCATTCAGAGTAAATCATTAATGAAACATTTTGATTCATTTCCTGTGTAACAGAAACCATAACCAAGCTAGTGAATGAAGCAACATTGTCTCTACCTGGATGAGAAAAAGCTTTCCTCTCACCAGTAGAAGACACAACACGAAGAGCAAATGAAGCAACTGGTGGATTTTCTCTAGTAAGATTCGATACCTCTGGATACAACTTAATATTCAATAGCATCTTACTTTTCTCCACAGATAAATGCCTTCAAAAATCAAACACCAAAATTGTCAAAATCAATCTGATTAAAACACATAAAGGTCCCAACTTTTCTCATTCACCAGGTTGAAAAAAGGAAAGAGAGAGATACCAATTCCAAAGACCCATCTTGAAAGGATCTGATTTGCGGTAAGTGGAAGAAGAAAGATTGAGGATTCGCCATTGAGCGAGTCTTGAAATGGTATCTACTCTATAAGCAGAATCAGTCATCTTAGCAAAAGCCAAAGCTGAAGTGATGTCATGGATACAATCAAATATCCCTTCCAACAAATTATCTCCTGACTTTCCCAGGTTTGCTCTTCTCTTCTCTTCTTCTTACCATATAAAATTTCTCTTCCTCTTCCCCAAAAAAAAAAAAAAAATCACTTCTTTGATTTGACCCTTTTGTTCTTTATGATCACACAAAATTCAGACTTTAGATCGAATTATATCTGGGTTTATGCGAGTGATTTAGATTTGT